TAATTATTTTTATTACTATACAGTAACAGAAAAATGTAATATATAATGTAGCTTTACCATTACTGCAATTGAATTATTTTTATCCCTATGAACAATTTACTATTGTTCATAGAGTCAGATAAAAAATTAAATACATTGAATGAATATATTAAAAACTGATTTCATTATTTCGTCAATAAGACTAAATAGTTGATGATTAAATCTGATTAGTGACAATGAATCACAAATAATTAAATTATCTATATTTCTAATATCTAATTCAATGTAATATCTTTTCTATANATCTATAATAAATTTAAATTTTAAAAAATCAAGATTAAATAAAATGTTAAAAAATAATACAACCTACCTTATTCAAACATTTATATATTTATTTTTATAATTAAATTAATTAAAATTAGTCACATTTATGTTTTTTAAATTGTTATACTATATTCATAAACATTGAGCTCATTCTTTTTCAAGTGTTTCAAAAATTAAATCAATCATTATAAATTTTCGAATTTTTAATTTCATCTACTATCTCTGAGTAAAATTAAAATAATAAACTATTAAAATACAATAGATTCTCATTAATTTGAATTTTGATAATTCAAATTTCCTCTTAATTCAATTGGATGCTAGTCCCCATCTGATTCCTATTTAAGTCAATGTAAAAATTCTCTCATTAATTCAAACACAATTATGCTGCATCCTGTTTATTCAAATCAAAAACCCATTTCATCTATATAAAAATTACTTTTATCATATACTATCTTTTCATATGTATACCCATAGATTGTGGTTTAAAAGACAATTTGAAAGTAGGTGTGGATTGTAAATCAATTTAAATTTGCAATCACAAATATATGCTTTTGGAGTAATGACTGTTTTCACAGGCAAAAACTATAGTATATGATAGAATGAGTATGACAAAGGTTTTAGAAAAAGCTTTTATTAGAGCTTATAATACTTAAAACAATTAAAAAAAAATTCCAAAACAGATTTTTATGATGATAATAAATCATAAATAAATACTGTAAATAAAATAATCTATTTCCTCATTTAACTATAAATAATAAAACTGTAAGTTGTTAATAAGTAAAAAACAAAATTTAGATAAATTTTATTTACAAATACTGTATAATCTAATAGCATAGATAACAATGCTACAAAAAATGATCAACTTACATATAAAGTATAGATAAAAACATTTTATAAAATAGTATATATAGTGCATGTTGAACTTCATAAAATTCTTTTTAAAAAATGCTAATTTTTTAAATTATTTTCATTAATTTTAATATTTTGAAATAAATAGTAACCTACTAAAATTAACATATATTAACATATCAAAAATATTGATATCAAGTAATATCATATAAATAAAAAAAAGAGTAGAGTTTAATTTGTAAAATTATGCATTATCTGACTTGTAAAATATTATGTAAAACTCTTCTTAACTTCATCTATAATTTATAATTTTATAACTTTTCAAAATTCAAACTATTAAGAGTAAAAATTGAAATTAAGTTATACATGAAAAAATTTTATATAATTTATATATTATATCGATAATATTGTTTACTTCAAGAATCTTCATCTTCAAGATTATCTGATGAAATTATTTAGCTTACATCTCTGACAATAGGTTCTTTACTCTGAATCATCAACTATATAATTTTCATATATTTTTAATAATATAGTTTAGTTTGTAATATTTATACATGTGTAAACCTTTAATATATTTCTACATTTGTAATAAAATAATAGCAAACAAATTTGTTATTCAAGAATTAGAATGCTTATTTCTTTCTTTCTGGTTTGATAAGCATCCTATACATACAACAACCATGAGAACATTCAATATTTGTAATAATAATCAAAATGTCAATATAGTTCAATTTATATTTGTATTATTGATGAGGGGGAAAAACTATTTGGCATTTATTAATTTGATTGGCATTAATGGTCGTTATTTGTGGCATTTTTCAGAAACTTTTTGAGGAATTCATGTCAAAATTATAATATTCTTATTTCTTAACTATATATAACAGCCGGAAACGTACAAATATAAAATGTCTATAATAAATATACTCATATCTTTACTACAGAGATTTATTTCAAATTGCATACAAAATATATATTTAAGAATGAGTAATAAATCAAATCTGTCTCATTACTTTTATTAAAACTTTTTTCTAATAAAAAAAAAGTAAAAGAGTCTTGACTTATGGTATTTCCATTTTTCTTTACGATAAAAAATGTAAATATCCATAATTCTACAATATTTGTTTATCACTTATTTTTATAAACAGATAACTTTCATATAAAAATGAAACTTTAACCAAATAATAAACTCAATAAACAAAATGTAAAAATTTTACTAAATTTATTTTACTATTATTTAAATAATTAATCATTGAAATATGCTACTTTTCAAAATGATTAATTCTTATGAAATATACTGTATTTACTTTTGATTTAAATTATAAAGTTACTATTTTATTTCATTTTAAAATTATTTTCTTATTGAAAAAGTAATCAGATGATCAAAAATATTATGAATATTTGAAGTATAGAAAATATATAAAAATTTGCAGTTTTAGTAACTATATCTTTTGACAGATTTCTAATTAGTCTTATTAACAATTACATTTTATTTAAACTTGAAAATTAAAAAGGTTTAAATTGATTATTTCAAATTAATCAATGTTTAATAATTGGATATCCTCCTTAACATTAAAAAATATTTTTAAAGAATCCTAAACATTCAACTCAAATACTATAAAGATAATTTCTTATGAAACTAGCCAATGGAAATTTGTGCAATTGTATCCTAGTAATACAACTATCAATTGTCTGTTTTCTTCCTAGATACATTCTGGAAAAAACAGATATCCTTTATCTAACTGGATTTTCAGTTATCTGAAAGTTTTTGGAATTTTGTCTTGCTTAATGTCAAAATATGAAAATATCCAATATTGCAGATTTCGTTACCAACTGTTAAAAGATATAATAATTATTAGGTGATAAATTCAAATCACTGAACTTTGAAAATCCAGCATGGACACTGTCAATTCAGCTAATTTACTTCATCTACCAGTTTAACAATTTTTTTGCATCTGAATAATATTAATAGTAATAATAAAAGGCTATCATTATTTATGCATATCAAAAATCATTAAACTTTCAAATTAAATTAACACAGATCAATTAGACAAGGTTTTCAAAACTTAGAATGAACTTGTTCCTGGCAATTGCATTTTTAAATATTCATAATGACTAAATAATTAAAATAATATGCAAAGATAAACATTATGAATAATAGAAGTATACTAAAAATCCCAAAGTCTGATACTTTGATACTCAAGCAAACAATAGCCTTAAACAAATCGGGCTTTTATAGCCTGATTATTTAAGGTAATTGTTTAGTCAATTAATAACAGAATATATTTTTATAGTCTATCATAAACTAATAAAACAATATTATTAAAATTTAATAAAATGCATCATCAATTAATTACTAGCTTGATCCTATAAAGTATTTTATAGGGTTAATCTATCATTGTTTAAAACTATTTGTAAAGTTAAATCGATAGTTTTAAGTTACTTGAAATTTAATCAACCAAATACAAGCAAACCAAGGCTTGTATACAATTGATTAAATGATCCATAAAAAATTTTGAGTGACTCATAAAAATTTTCTAAAATAACATACTTTTCTTTCCCTGTTAAAATTTCATGCTTGATTTAAAATTAAAATTTTATTATTAAATTTCATTTAAATTTTCTAATAAATTATTCTAAAATTTCATTGTGGAAAAGTAAGTATTCCATATTCATCTTATAACCAAATTTAAAATATACTACTATAAAGCTTGTCCTAATTTATATGAAATAAATATGTTTGTTGAAATGACTATGAGTATAATGGGTAGACACAAACATTATACCCAAGCTATGAGCATATTTGCCTGATAAAGTGGCTTTAATACAGCTGGATAATATGAAAGCTACTTTACCAGGCAAAGCACCCTACATCTCACATTTTCAAATGCAATTGTATAGATAAATTTGTAGTTTGCTATTTGTTGGTTTGAATGTCCTTCATATGAGAGCAAATCCCATCTTGAATCCTATAAAAAAAAATCACAACATAATTTTAACTACAAAATTAGTCTCTCTAGACCAGCTTTTACTGCTTTTTGTCCAATTAAAATAACGGAAGAAATGACTGGACACTCAAAAAAATTAGTAATGAAAGCATGGGAATTCTCTGCATGAGCCTGAATGCTCAAAGCTATGCAAAGAAACTTCACATTTTTTAATAAAAAAATTAAGGTTGATAAAAATAAGTTTATCTTTTCATATTGACTATTCATAACTGGACTAACTGGTTTGTAACCAGTGTAAATACATAACAAATAATATGAAGTGATAAATATGACATGATTAAGACACGACATGACTGGAATACCATGATTAAATCTTTTTCAGAGAGAACTCTGGAAAAAGATTTAATCATGATGTTCTTTATCAGATGTTTACAACAATGATATTTTTAACTACTACTTTATATGTCCTATTACTTGATTTTTCACATAAAATATATAAACTAGCAGATACAAATATCATTAATATCAAAATCTGATAAATAAAACCTCATTTCCTCTTTAATGATGAACTGCATAGCTAAAATAGATTTCCTTTTACCATTTTCCTACAGTAATTTTCTAAATTAATTCTATTTTGAATATATTATAATCCTCTATCTTCAAGCACATTAATACCAAATGTTAACAATTTTACTACTGTTAAATTACTTACTTCTCTGGATTTGTGTTAAGCAAATAACAATCAGAAAATTTGTATTATCTCTTCTTTAATTCAAATAATTCAAAATACAATTCTTATAGGTAATTTACCAATAAATAAATATGGTTTTTAATGAATATTTATTTAATTTAATGAATATTTATAAAACAAAGAAAGTGGTCAACAAACCCAATGCAACTTACCCAATGGAACATTACATATGAGAGCACATGCAGCCAAAGCACCAGCTGATGCACCAGCTATTTTATCAACAAGAATATGAGGTGCATAACGTTTGAAACACGATGCAACTCCAACGTGATAGATACATAGAAAACCACAACCGGAAAACGAGATGTTCATCTTTCATCGCCTAAACAGTTAACGATGTCGACAGTAAAACAATAGTAACTACATCAGTCAGTCACTGGCGTATATATCGGTATATTCGACGTAAATATCAACTACGTCAACGTTTTTAATATACCAATGTTTAGCGAACACATGACCTTCTCCTTTATCTCGCAATCACGTGAGGTGTTTTTGTCCGTAACCAGATAACTTTTTCTCCCCCTCTCATTCTCTCCCAGTGAATTGATGTCCTTGAATATAACGGAGAATCCACTTTACCAACGAGTGCGAAAAGCATTTTCGATCTAATATAAATATATTTAATCGACTACGAAACTTCCCGCAAGTAATATCAATATAGTGACGACAAGTGCTAAGACTATCAGCAGAGATTCGAGCAAAATTGAAAGTCACGTGACAATCGAAAGGGAAAATATTTTTATTAAGGAGTAAAGGAAGTACGTTATAAACAATTGATAGAAATGATTTTTTTTTTCTTATGAAATGAATTAATCGCTGTATACGACGTCATTATACAAACTATACATTTACATTCGTTTGAATTGTTATACAAATACTGTATTTATTTTATTTGAATTTTAGAAATATAATTTTATAAATTTTTATAATATGAATAATAATAATAAAGAAACACNTAAATAAGCAATGTAATAAATTTATATATATATATATATTAAAACGTAACCGTTGATTTGCACGTGTTCATTTATTTACGAAGTATATTCAATTCTGGTTTTTATTTCAAATTATTTATTTATTTATAATTTATATATTCCAGTTTCTGTATAATAATTTGTATTTTGTGCAGGTTTATGTTAAAAGCAGCTTAGAATAAATAAATAGGTTAGTTTAGTTTAAATGCAGGTTTATTTTCATTTCAGACTTAGAAAAGTAAGGCATCAGTTATTTAGATAATATTTCAAATAAAATGACTAAAAATACGTAATGATTCATCCGTAGAATGAATCATTAATATTAGAATGAAAATATTAATCTCTAATATTTTATTATTAGAGATTAATGCACTTTTAATCGTGAAAATTCCAATTTTTTTAGTTCCTCTTTTTTTATTAAAAATATTCCAGTAATGATAACACAATCTTGTTGATGAGTTATGCCCGTTGATATCTGTTAAAACCTTCTGATAAATTTTGTAATTTAGATATTTCATCATTAGTTTCGTATTGAAGGAAAAAAATAAGATATAATTGTACCAGTAGTTCTGTAAGATTTTCATTTTATGAATGGTCACAATCTTTCTGTTTACATTTTGATAAAGTTGTTCTGTTAATGTACATGTATTTAGTGTTATAAAATGTAGGTGTCCTTTAATTAAGTTTAAAGTATATAATGCAGAAAATAAAATGTTTGTTAATTAATGGCCAATATATAGTTCAATCCTAATTTTCAATTGTATTCTTGTCACTAATATAAAAGTCATGTAATGTTGTATATATCTTTTAAATGTTTTACATTGATTTTATAAATTTATAAAATATAGGTTATCATTTTCTTCATGTAAAAATATATAATATATGTTTATAAATGTTATACATACATACACAAAATGTATAGCACCGAATACTTAATTAAACTGGATAATAACTATGTATGTTATGTTTCAGGAACCTTATGTCCGATCCGGCAGGTAAAAAACCACAAATGTAAAAATGCCTCTTTTCTCAGGACAACAAAAAAAGCCAAATGCGTTAGAGATATGGAGGTCCTGGAAATTTTAGAATTATGTTAAAGGGTAATTTGTATCAATTACGAGTGTAAGAAATCCATTTCCAGAGCAAGGCAAGCCTGTTACGATTTTGTCACTGTGAGCCAATACATATCCAATGAAAGTTTCTAATTTTGGCATTCAATCTTCAAATTCCATCAGTTCAAGTTTTTAAAGTTTGTGCTCCATTGTATGTTAGCATTCCATTTTAAAACTTGGTTGTTCCTGAGTAAGGCTGAAAACATTTCAATTACATTTTTTACCCTGCTGGATTGGATGTGAGGTTACTGAAACATACAAAATGTGTAGTTTCTATATAAACTTAATTCACATCTTGTAGTTTCATCTAAATCTTTTGCCTTTAGAATTCATATCATATTAATGTAAAGTTGAATGCAATGACTATAAGTAAACAAGATAAGTTTCACTTTTTAACTGGTAAAGTATTGTGAGACAACTAACAGTTTCTTAACTTTGTTTTGAATTGAATATTATATTTACTTCTTTCTATATATTATAATTGATAAACTACTGTAATATAAAAGATTACATATATTCTATTTTAAATTTTTTTTATTTTTAATTTAAAAAATATGTTAGTTTACATTATTTAGTAATCATAATAGTATATTATGCAATTGGTTTAGTATTAAATAGATGATTATGACACGAATGGAAGTTTGGCACACAAACAGAATGAGTGGACCAATTTCCATGAATGCTGTAATTGCTAATTATAACCAAATTGTCATATGGTATTTTGTGGTTAGACTTCACCTATAATGCTATACTTATGGAACTCAAAATCATGTATAAACAGTGTTTGTGTCAACTGGGCCATAAACACTGTGTTTATACATGATTTTGAGTTCCATAAGTATATTGTTATAGATGTAGTCAACCACAAATGATTTTAAAATATTGAAAGCTGTCAAATTGAAATTACAATAAATATTTCATTTATTTTAGAAAGAATTATATTATCTATGTATCATTTTGAAATGAAATGAAGCTTTAAAAATATTTATTAGTTATCAGTCAACTTTGATTAACTTAAATTCTCCCATAATGAATTAACATTTGTATCTGTAATTTAAAAATTGACCTTTTCAAAAAATTTTATTATTTTTTTTATGATTGTTTTCTTCTCAAGTTTAATAATACAAACTAATATACTTGTATGAGATTTGTTTTGTTTTCACATATGATTTTACATAAAGTAGAGCTTTCAGATATGAGTTACTTGTAAGTGTAAACCTGGTTATATAATGATTAATTAAATGCTTTGTTTTATTAAACTTTATATTTTCCTTGCATTAATATTTATGAAGGAAATTGAATAAGTTAATAAATTTTTACACAGATTTAAAACTATAATTTACTGTAGTTTTAAAATTGTATAATATAGATATGTAATTTCTTTGTCTGTATATGCAGTACTGAAGAAAACAATAATATAGTTATTGAATGCAGTATTAAAAAATATGAAAAAATAAAAAATAAATTTTATTGTTTCTTCATTGTTTAATATATTTATCAATAAATTGATAAGTACACTAAGCAACAAAATCAATTTTGTAAAATATATGATAAAAATTTTCCATAAGAAACAAAATACATATTAAAATTGGTTTAGACAGGTAAAAGATTATTTTTATATTTTGTTCTTATTTTGATGAAATACAAAATAAAATGTATACAGGAAATTAGAAACCATTATCTAAATCAGTGATTCTCAATCATTGTGCCGTGGCATTTTAGTGTGCCACGAGATTTTTGAAGTGTGCTGTCACTGCAAATGCCTCATACTTAAGTGACGTGAGACAAGTAGTTTAATCTGTTCTACCTTCCTAGAGTGCATTTGGAAATTGTAACCGGTGTTACCAGAAACTGCCGGTAGTTACTAAGATGTTTAGAAAATGTGATCTAAATAACCAACTGCGTTTAAAAATCACTGTTATGATGTCACTAGTTGTCCTATGGTACTTACTGAAGTAACCGTGTGCGCTGCCAAATTTTTAAATTATTAAAATTGTACTGTGACAAAAAAAAGGTTGAGAATCACTGATCTAAATATTACTAAAATTTGTCAAATACAGTAATTTAAAATTAATGTATTAATTGGGTGATCAGGTAACCTAACATTACAATTTTAAAATGTGAAGATATTTAATTGGTCATTATATGAAAAGCTGTACTTGTTATAACTTTATTCTACAAGTATAGCTTTCTTTGATTTTCTCAGCTGTTAAATTGATAACATTTAATATTTTATAGATTAATTTTTAAAAATTAATAATTTAATTGTAATTAATTTATTATTTTTATTATACTAACATTTAGATATACATACAGCCATATTTTAAAATAAAATGACTAATACTATGTATTGTTTGTGGAGGAAGTCATTATAATTAATTCTAATGCAATTTTCTCTCTCTCTTTCTTTCTCTCCTTCCTTCTCTCTTTCTTTCCTATTCCTTATTTACATAATAATAAAAAACAAAGAATATGAGAGAGAGTTGAAATTAAGAAAATAGGTATCTATAAGTCAAATAGAAAAACTATTTTTTCTTTTTATTTATATATTTGCATAATTATATAGAATTATTAGAATTAATTTTTTTTTAAATAGATTTATATCATTTCTAAAGAAAATTATTTCTTAAAGTAAGTTATATTCTCTGGAAATAACTGCTACATTGTTGGATTTTTAAGATATATAAATGTATAGGCAAATAAATTATTTTAAATCTTACACAATATATTTTATTTTGCTGTAGATATATATAAACAAAAGAAAATATTTTATTGAAAAAATTGACTGAATGTTATTAACTCTGAAACCTGCTTTTAATCTTTTTTCCTCAAGATATACAGTATACTTTCTCTTTAAATGAGAAAATTTTCTAATTTCTATGTACTGGTACAATAGCATTTACTTTTCATGTTAGTTGTTGAATAGCATTCTTTGAAAATTGCATTTATTTTTCTTAATTCCTTTACTACCTTATTAGAAACATTATTTTAAAAAAACATTAATTCTATTCCAAGAATCTCTATAAAAGTTATATATTACACTGACCTTATAATGCTTTGCAGTTGTTTTGTTACATAACACTAACATTTTCGATCCACCCTAGGACCTTCTTCAGGTGGAGTTCTAGAGAAAATCTTTTCTGGTATGGGGTCCTAGGCCCTAGGGTGGACTGAAAACATTTGTGATATGTTACAAAATAACTGCAAAGCGTTATAAGGTTGGTGTGATATATTTATCAATGCTTTGTTTATTGAATGGATTCTATAAAAGTATGCAAATCCTCTTTTGTACTTGAAATATGAGTTATTTGAATCGTATGCAGTTATATTATCCTGTCTCATTGGAAATGTGGGTGACATATGTGATCATTTCTTCAATTACTTTAAAAGTGAAAACAACAATTACTATCAATGTAAAGAAGAAAAACAAACGCCAACATTTACCAGCACTTTAATACATTGTAAAAACAAATATTTTTGATTACTTCTTGCATAAACAGAATTAGAGGAAATAAAAAACACTTGACTTACATAATTTTTATTTTTAATAACAAAACTTATTACATCAGCCAAGACTTAATTTGAGCATAGCTCATCTTTAATTAGAACTTGAAGAATTGTTTTTAAGGCCATTTCCTGATTTTCTTAGCTTGTATTTTCTGTATTAAATGC